TCTAATTACTTCTTTATCCTTGAGTACCATTGGTTCTCTAATGGACAGTGATTCATAAAACACATTCATGAATCGGAGCTCCTACTGGTCCAAGTACGGAATCAACCCTCAAGAGAATTATTTATCTACTTCTTTCTTAAGAAGGAATGGATTCCATCTCGTGTAATAACATTCCCGGCTGCCTACTTCATCATGTCTCCAAAATACAAGGAATATGATTCAGGATCTCGTACCGAGTAAATTAAAAGACACAAATCCATAAATAGGAGTTTGTTAAGAACTCAGGATTAAGATCATTCTATATATGACCATCGGTAGACTCAATTAGAATTTCTATACTTAATGGAAATTATTAGAAATTCATATTGTGTCTGTGTCCTTGTTTCACATAATCTCATTATGCAAAATACACTCATTCAATATCTCGCCATATCAACAGTGCAGATAACACCGTTCCATTCTAAATGTGAATGACATGTATTAATAATGTTTTAATTAAAGATTCCAAACTTTAATTAAATTCATTATGAACATTGCTTTTTGATTATTATCCTTAAACATTATCCTCTCGTATATAACACTTATATAGAATGTTTAAGGTTACATAAATAATCATGGAATTTTCATTGATATTCATAAAATATTCATAAATATATGCACATAAAATAATGAATAAACTCTTTTATTAAATAAATAATAAATATCATATTACATCTCATGCTTCTAGGACACCATTCCCAACAGTTGCCACATAGCGGCATGACATGGGAGAAGAAAGCCAAGCCCTCTATAGCTTAATTCTCTTTTATTTACTAGTTTTGTAATGTGCTTCGCACGTATTACTGTACTGGAGACACCTGAAGAGTTTATTGTTTATTGAATTATGAGAAATTCATTTATACAACCATTTAAGGTTTTTATAGTTATTTTAAAAAGAAATATATGTAAAGATAGATAACAATTGACAAAAAAAAATTAAGTAGTGACACATTTAAAGAAAATTATTTTAACCAACTAAAAATAAATAGAAACAGGTGCAAAAAAAATGACTTTCATAAGAGTAAAGTGAGAAAAATATATTTAAAAAAACATACAAAAAATTAAAATGTGAAAAAATTCACAAAAAAAAAGTAAATGGAAGGGCTACGACGTAGAAAAGAGATTTGCCTATTCTATCTATTGTTAGATGTATAGACAAAAAATGAATAAAGACTATAGGAGGGAGGGAGGGAGGGAGAGAGAGAGAGAAGAAAACTAAAAAAAAGTCAAAATGGACAGAGAAACAAAAAAAAAAGAGTTTAAAAAATAAAAAAATAAAAAAAAGAAGAAAGAGGAGGCCAACATGTGACTCCATAGAGTCTAGCACATGGCATCCTTAGAAGCCAAGTCCTTGGCTCTTTTAAGTATGTATATAGACTAGTTGAGGCCGCATGCGATACACGTGAGGGTAATTTTGTAGGTTTCGTCCCTGTGTTAAATTTTAATTATTGTGTTATTATTAAAGAAGCAAATAAGAAAGAAAGTGAAACAAAAGAAACAAAAGCGAAAAAAACGTAAAAAACATGAATGTATAGTTGGGAAAAAAATCATATGATTAAATAAAGAGTGAGAAAAAGATATGAGGGACCAAAGAAGTTGTTAGAGTATAGTGACCCAGATTCTATTTGGTCCGGCCCAAAAAGCTCGTGGTGCGATATATATGGTGGAGTTTTAATTATGAAAATTTTTAGGGGTTAGTGGTAGTTGCAGAGGGATCGGGCTGATACCTGTTTTGATAATTATTTTTAAAAACAAAAAAATAAGGGACTAAAATAATAGTAAAATTAAATAAGGATAGGAGAAAAAAAAACAAAAATTAGAGGCTAAAAAAAGTACATAAAAGAAAAAATGGACCTAAAAGAAAGCAAGAAGAAGAGAAGTAAAAAGAAAAATTAACAAAATTAAAAGAATAAAAAACATTTTTTGATTAAAAATGTTTCGTCCGTCCCCCCTCACGGACGAAACATTTTTTCCCTATGGGGGCGGAACCGCGGAAGTTCCCAAAGGGACTTGTTCCTTTTTATATATTGTAAGATTATTTAACATCTAACATATATAAAAAGAACCAAACCCTCTTTTGTGCGTGACCTCATCCTCATTCTCCTCCTTCCAAACTTTTCCTCTTTTACTCTTTTACTATTCTTCATTTTTTTTTAATTTTTTCCTCTTTCTTTTACTTTTCCTCTTTGTTTTACTTTTCCTCTTTTACTCTTCTTCTTTTTTTTTTTAATTTTTTCCTCTTTGTTTTGTTCATTGTTTTTTGTTTTTTCCCATAATATCCTTTAGTAATTCATTTTATGCAAAAAATTTATGTTTCTTTAGAAGTTCATTTTCAAAATAACTTTTGGATATTTTCATTAAGAAAATATTAAGAGGACAATGAATCTGTTGTGATTTATCTTATAATGTCTTAACTGTAATGACATTTTGTTGTAATTTTATGAAAGAGAAAGATTTGTTAAATGACATAGAATATCAATAAAATTAACATGAGAATAGAATATAAAAAATACTATAAAAGTAACCTAAATTTATTAACACTTAAAAAACCAATAAACAAATCTGTTCTTTCTTTCGATGAACTCTAGCCAAGTCTTAATGAAACAACTAAAAAAAAAAAGAAAGGAAAAACTCTCATTTTAATGCATAATATTTTTGGGTTACTTTATTATAATATAATAATAAAACGAGTGATAGTTTTCTTAAGGATAAAATGAGTTTTCTTAGGATAAAATGAAAAAAAAAAAAATTTGAGAGGGATATTTATCATCATAAACGTTTTAACCAAAAAGGCAAACAGAGACACCAAGAGATGGAGGCAAGGAGCTACGGAAGAAAAATAGTAAGTAGACCATGGATATTTCAAAAACTTTACATTGAAACTATCTCATAATTAAATTAAAAATAATAATAATTAAAAAAACAGGAAGAAGGAAGGAGTTCTTAGAAAGGTGATTTTAAAAACATATGCATAAAGGATAAGAAATTGTTGGAAGATTCCTAAAATAATTGTAATCAATGTGTGCTGTATATAGAATGTCGATAGGCTATCATAATGTGGTAGATAGATAAGAAAGGCACAAAAATGCACTTTGAAGATTGCTTTTATTGGATTAATTGTTAAAATATTTAAGCATCTATTAAATATTTCCATGATTTTTATTTAAAATTATTTACTTGGAATTATTTAGTTTTTGTTTATCATTTACAGGTTTTAAAAGCAATATGGAAAGTCCAAAAATCAAATCTAAATTTTAGATTGGAAAGATTGTTAATTTAAAATTTCATTAGGGGTATTGTAGGTATTATGAAAGTTTTATTAATTGTACTATGTTGATTCCCGTACAATCTAAAAGCTAAAGTTGTCTTTGGGCTGCTTTTAATTTTGGTTGTAGATTCTTCAAAATTTCTTCAAAAAACACTTTTGATGAGATTTACCAAATACAAAAATCAGTGTTTGCTACAAGCAGAAGTTGATTTTGGGAATGAAAAGCAATACCAAACACAATCTTCATTTGAGAGAGTGAGAGTTTTAGGGATTTAGGGTTATCAAATTAGGGGGATCTTTTCATAGTTCTGAAATTGCTATTGCGTATTAGAAACAATGATAAAATTAGGGAAACAAATAAATTTTTTTTAAAGAAAATACTCAAAGCACCCATGTGTTTTGTCTAAATACAACATTTGTCTTTTTTATTTGTAAATACCTAAAACACCCCCTTTTTTTAAAAAAGACTCAAAATATCCCCTACAGCAATTATTTTTTTTAAAATGTCAAGATTACCCTTCCTAATTTATATTAAATGTTATTTTAGATATAATTTAACTAAAAAATTTTAAATTGTTTAAATAAATATTCCAATTAAATAAATAATTCAATTATTTTTAGAATTTTTCATTTTTTTTAAGATTGATCTTATTTGACATTTTGATTTATTAATGTTTTAAAATGTATTTAATAAAGGTTAGATAAGGTAATCTTGGTATTTAAAAAAATAAGTAATTCAGATTGATTTTAAAAATAAAAGAGGTGTTTTCCACATTTGCATAATAAAAGAGGTAAAATTAATATTTAGATAAAACACATAACTATTTTGAGTATTATACAATTTTTTTTTTAAGAATGTGAAATTACATTGTATTTAAGCTTGGTTTCCTTTTCGTCGAGATAATGAAAAAACCTTAGCTTTCTTTGTTGAAGTTCCTTTGTTAGCATATATATATATATTAGATTAATTTCACTAGTACCTCTTGAAATTTAAAGTCATTTTCATTTTATCCTTTAAACTTTAAAAATTCTCACTTTGCTCCCTGATTTTTAAAATTGTCTCATTTAAGCCATTTTGTAAGAATTTCTATTAAAATCATATCAAAAAAGTAGTTAAGTGTGAGCACATGGTTTTTATCTATTTATTTTTAACATAAATTCAAACAAAAAGATCACATGATTACATTATTCTCTTTTTTTATTTATTTTTAACAAAAATTATAATAAAATGGATTAAATGTGAACAATTCAATATTTATGAATAAAATAAGAGTTTCTAAAATTTGAAAGGTAACTTGAGAATGAACTAAAGTTTAAGGACACTAATAATAATAATAATTTTTTTTCCTTCTTCGACCACAATCATGGCATATTAGAAGAAAAAATCATCACATATGCCTTTCAAAGAAAAAAAAAAAATCATCACATATCACCTATAAGGGTATTCAGGTAAAGGGATTTTCCTTTTTAACAGACAAACGCCGTTAAACTCTGTACTTTTGACTAGCAAAAACAAAAAAACAAAAAACAAAAACCAAAAAAAAACAAAAAAACAAAACAAATCAAAACAAAAAACAACCAGTGGAAGCAGAAATCCTTCTCTTGATCCCATTCCTAGTTTCCCACTCAGCTAATCTGTGTTTCTATGGCTGTGGGCATGGACAAGCCTCAATATTAACCTCTATTTGACCATTTTCTGCAAGTTGTTTCGTTTCTCAATCTCGAATGTGTGTATAACATATTTATCTGTTTTATGATATGGGTAGCTCCAATTTTTCTTGGATTTACCGTCGTCTTAATTTTTTTTTTCTTTTGCGTTATCGTTATAATGTAATGTAATTTCTAATGAGTTTATTGCCTTATCTCAGTCGATTTTGTATTGATTTCACGCATTTTATTTCATTCTCTCTTTTTCTTGACTGGCTCTACTCTATAATGTCTGGTATCTGTTTGTTGAAAGTACTGTGTAACTAAATTGAATAACCCTATTTGCTGCCAAAAAAAAAAAAAATTTCCGAGCTTTAGACTTTATACTCCTTTAAAAAGACTTGTTTTTTTTATCATGCCAAACATCTTTCTTCATTTACTTTTATTTGTTCGTGGTGTTTAATTTGGCAGGCAAAATTGGATTTGATTGACTGGTAAATTAGCCAATAGAGGTTAACTGGCCCCGGAAGGTGTTTTGGGCTAAAAGAAGTTACCGAATTTCTTCTTATTATTATTGTAAAATGTTTACCAATGATAGAAGGCAAGAAGAGCGGACCGGAAAATATGGAACTCCAAGGCTTCAATATCTTCAGGTTGCTTGTTCTTTCCATCGTGTACTCATAGCCATTCCGGTTTACTATGTTTGATTGATTTAGTTTTTCTTGGCTTTATTTTACTAAGGTTCAGTTAATTTGTTCCAGGAATTGGTGACTCAAATTCAGAACTCCAATAATGAAGGTGTGTTGCCTTTTTATCAGCATTCCTTTCCTCTTTGAATTTGCTTTACACTTACAAAGTAGTAATTTTGGATTTCATTCCTCATTCTAATTAAGATTATTGCCCAATCTAAAAGACCAAATAGGCTTATCAGTAATGAGTGCACATTTTGATTGTCCAAATTTTTGAGTTTTTTAAGGTACGTAAGAGTTCTGCTTTTGATGTTCTGTGTTTAATAGTCATAATAACTCTGCAGAAATGCCTAAAGAAAGTTTCTTCTATAACTAAAAAACTCTCATGCTCGTACGTACTCGCATTATAGGGAAAGAATCATGAATGGATATGGTTGTTTTAATTTGGTTGCAGGGCCACCTACACTTACTTTTACTATCCAGAAACTTGTTAGTAATTTTTGGAAGGCCAACTAGTTTATCTCTTGGTTATTATAATTAATTCCTAAAAAGGATGTCTATCTTTTTTCTTGTTCCTACAGAAACAAAAGAGAGACTCGTTGCTAATTTGGCCAACTTTGCTTATGATCCATACAATTATACGTTTTTGCGCCAGGTAAAGAGTGCTTGCTCTAGAGTATTTTGGCTGGGAAGGGTAAATTCACATCTTATTTATGAACTTTGGCCTAATAATGACCTCAAGATTATAAACAGCTCAACGTTTTGGAGCTTTTTCTAGACTGCAGCACAGAACCCAATGAAAAGCTTGTTGAGTTTGGAATAGGAGGGGTCTGCAATTCTTGTGCTGGTAAGTTCAGTAATATAAGCGTTTCAGTGATCTTAATGCTCAGATTTTCTTTTACTTTCTTTTTTTTTTTTCCTTGTTTGTAGATCCAGAAAATGCTACAATAATCACTCAGTGTGGTGGAATCCCTCTTGTTGTTCAATGTTTATCGAGCCCAGTTAGAAACACTGTAAGTTTTTTATTTATGTGTGGGGGGGAATCCCTCTTGTTTATGTGATCAAAATAATCAACATTCCATTTGTCATTCTTCGCAAAAGTTTGACAGTAGCCTTTTCAAGTTGTGGAATGCTTTTTTTTTTCTTCAATACAAGACAGGATTCAACCCGCAACCCTCCGCTTAAACCTCACCCCACCCAAACCTCCAATGCCACTAGACCAAGAGGTCTTAGACTAATGTAATTAGCCCTAACGTGATCCTGTTTTAGTTGAATAATGTTTCTTTTTTATTCGTGCGTGTTTTACTGAAAAGTGATGTACATTGATAGACATAAATTCTGGATTCTCTTTTACTGTATTAGGTGAATTACGCACTTGGGGCTCTTTATTATCTCTGCAACAAGTCTAACAGTGAAGAGATTCTAAAACCAGAAGTTGTAGATCTCATCAACAGATATGCTGCAGCAGAAGCAGTTAGCGTCAGCTTCAGTAATTTGGCCAAGGCATTTTTGGAAAAACATGTATCTGAAAAATACTAACCAATAATAAACCAACTTCTTCTATCTTGAGAATTCATCTCAAAACGATGCAGATTCATGCGTAAGATTGGTTCTTTATAAAATCATTTCCTTCCTTTCTATCGTCTTCCTTTTTTTTTTTTTTTAGGTTAATTATTGGGCATACTATTTCTTGACTGATGGAAACATGTAGGAATCCTGTGTGTCCATCCCATATTTTCTTGTTTCTCCCAAATACTTCATCAGATTGCTTACTGCTTTCGATTCTTTAGTAAGATATCTTTGATTTATCCAATGAAAATGTGAATACAATTCTTTTGCCCTGTAAACTACTCGCGACGGTATTAGATCTAACTTGCAAGTATAGCTCCCCCCAAGAAGAAACTTGAATCATTTTGGGATAAAAGAGCAGTAGTACTATATCTACTGTCCATTTTTAACTACTATAAATTTTACATGCCAAAATAAGAAAAGAATATCAGTGGTATCCAGTGGACTATGGAGCATAGTGACACGGACGGGGGTGAATCTCGGCACTCACACCATGGAGAGGCTCGGTAATAACCTGTTGGCGCCCTTATTACTAGGGCAAGCCACCTTACAAGTAAACGCTTAACGCACTTCATGTCGATTGGTTTTGCCCTACCTTGGGCTCATCAGGGGAACGGCTCCAAGTCCCCCGACCAATTTGTGTAGGGGAGGCCTAACCCCTTCTTGTACAGCTTCTCCCTGTACTCTTTGAAAAACTCATGCACTCACCATTGGAGTCGCCCTCCAGCCAACTATGGTGCGCCTTTGCATGTTCCGTCCCGTTGAGGCTCAGCGCCAAGATAAGAATGTGACAATAGACCATGATTAGTTTTTTTTTATTTTTTTGTTTTTGTTTTTTATTTATTTTTTAAATAAAAAAATTAATGGTATCTTCACGCCCCTAGTCCAAAGATCACCTTTACAATTTGTCGGAAAAGAAATCTGGCCCATGCTTTGGTCATCTAGTCTATAGTAGCACCAATTGAACAATTCCAGTAAGATCCTCACGTGACGTTTGGATATCTGTTGACTATAGACATATATGTATATTAAGAGCAGAAAAAATACTCTCCGTATATTAGCTTACTCACGGGCTGTAGAAGAAACAAACCAACATAACGAACCGTGCACTGCCGGGTATACCTCTCAACAACGCTGGCGTGACTGCGGATAACAGACTAAAGGCAACTACCTCAGTAAATCTCACAAACAAACAAAAATGGCGTCGGTGTCGGTGACGCCACCAGTTTCATGCCACTACCGCCATAACCAACCTCCTCCAACTTACTCAACCAAACGCTCTCATACCTCAATCCCCCCACCAAAAGCCTCTCTATCTTTCTCCACCGCACAAACCCAGAAACCAACAAACTCTCTGCAACTCCAACAACCTTTTCTCCAACACATAACCAACCTCTGCGAATCCGGGAATCTCCCCGAAGCTCTAGCCTTCCTAAAAAACGACTCTCAAAATGTCAGCGTTTCAGCTCCGGAGAGGAAAGACGCCATTGGGGTCTTGTTACAAGTCTGTGGGAGACTCAAAGACATCGAAATCGGACGCAAAGTTCACCACATGATTCTGGAATTGACCCAGTTTCGCAATGACTTCGTTCTCAACACCCGTCTCATCACCATGTACTCCTTGTGCGGGTCTCCTTTGGATTCCCGTTCCGTCTTCGATGGACTCGAGAGGAACAACTTGTTTATGTGGAATGCCCTCGTTAGCGCGTACGCTAGAAATGAGCTTTATCATGATGCGGTGAAAGCGTTTGTTGGGTTGGTTTCGGAAACTGAATTTCAACCCGATAGTTTCACTTTGCCTTGTGTGATTAAGGCCTGTTCGGGGCTTTTGGACGTCGGGTTGGGGCGGGAGGTTCATGGGATGGCGGTGAAGATGGCGCTGGTGTCGGATGTTTTTGTGGGCAATGCGCTGGTTGGGATGTATGGGAAGTGCGGGTTTTTGGAGGACGCGGTTCGTGTGTTCGAGAAAATGCCTGAGAGGAACTTGGTTTCTTGGAACTCGATGATTCGCGGGTTCTCGGAGAATGGTTTGTTATAGAGAGTTATGGCTTGTTGAGGGAGATTTTGGTGGTGGGTTTGCTGCCGGATGATGCTACCGTAGTGACTATGTTACCGGTGTACTCTGCCGAGGGGGATATAAATATGGGAATCGCGATTCATGCTTTGGTGGTGAAGTTGGGGCTGAGTGAGGAGTTGATGGTGAGCAATGCCTTGATGGACATGTATGCAAAGTGTGGATACTTATCAGATGCCGTATTTCTATTTGGTAAGAACAATAATAGAAATGTGGTTACGTGGAATTCCATGATTGGAGGTTTCTCTAGGGAAGGGGATGTTAGTGGAACATTTGATCTTCTGCGGAGAATGCAGATGGAAGAAGACGAGAATGTGAAAGTGAACGAGGTCACGATACTGAATGTGTTGCCAGCTTGTTTAGAGGAGGATGAGCTGGTGAGCTTGAAGGAAATTCATGGTTATTCATTCAAACATGGTTTTCACGATGATGAATTGGTTGCAAATGCTTTTGTTTCAGCCTACACGAAGTGCGGATCACTGCATTATGCTCAACATGTGTTTTTTGGTATAGAGAAAAAGACAGTGAGCTCTTTTAATGCTCTAATTGGTAGATTGGCACAGAATGGTGATCCAAGGATGGCTTTAGATTTTTACTTTGAAATGAAAGATTCAGGCTTGGATCCTGACTGTTTTAGCATCGGTAGCCTTTTTTTAGCTTGTGCCCATCTGAAACTTCTGCGGTATGGCAAGCAGATCCATGCATGCGTACTACGTAATGGGTTAGAAAGGGATTCATTCATTACTATCTCTCTCATATCCCTTTACATTCATTGCGGTAAGATATTTTCTGCACGTGAGTTATTCTACAGAATGGAAGGCAAAGTTTAGTGTGTTGGAATACAATGCTTGCTGGTTACTCTCAGCTTGGACTTCCTGATGAAGCTCTTCATCTCTTTCGTGAAATGATTTCCGATGGAATCCAACCTTATGAGATTGCCATTTCAAGTGTGTTTGAGGCCTGTTCACAACTGTCAGCCTTGCGTCTGGGAAAAGAACTACATTGCTTTGCTTTGAAAGCTAACCTTGTAGACGACATGTTCGTTGAATGTTCCATCTTAGACATGTACGCAAAAAGTGGCTGCACGGAACAGGCTCAAACGGTTTTCGATAATTTGAAGGATAAAGACCTAGCATCGTGGAATGTTGTAATTGCAGGATATGGAGTCAACGGAAATGCGAACAAGGTGTTGGAGCTATTTGAAGAAATGCAAAGATTGGGATTGAAGCCTGATGGGTTTACATTTATTGGAATTCTGATGGCGTGCAATCATGTGGGGATGGTTTATGTGGGGCTAAAATATCTCAATGAGATGCAGGGTTTGTATCGAATAGAACCCAAATTAGAGCACTATGCATGTGCGGTGGACATGTTAGGTTGAGCGGGCCAATTGGAGGAAGCTCTGAAGCTTGTAAACGACATGCTCGAAGAACCAGACACTAGAATCTGGAGCTCATTGCTTAGCTCCTGTAGGAGCCACGGCAATTTGGAAATGGGATAGAGAATTGGTAAGAAGTCGCTAGACTTAGAGCCTGAAAAGGAAGAGAACTATGTGTTGGTGTCAAATTTGTATGCGGGGTCAGAGAAATGGGATGATGTGAAGAGAGTTAGGCAAAGGATGAAGGCGTTTGGCCTGCAAAAAGACGCCGGTCAGAGCTGGATTGAACTCGGAGGGAAGGTTTATAGCTTTCTCGCCGGGGACAATATGCATCCTGAATATGTGGGGATTGCGGAGATGTGGAAAAGAGTAGAGAAAAAGATAAGTAAGCTCGGATATAAACCGAATACAAGTTGTGTGCTTCATGAACTCGAAGAAGAAGAGAAGATTGAGAGATTGAGAGGGCACAGTGAGAGGCTTGCTATATCTTTCGGATTGTTGAAGATGAGTAAAAGGTCGACAATAAGAGTGCAAGAATCTTCGGATTTGTTTAGACTGTCAGCCAAGCTCATATCAAAGGCTGTCGAAAGGGAGATAATAGTGAGAGACATGAGAGACAACAAGCGCTTTCACCATTTTAAACATGGCCTTTGTTCTTGTTCAGATTATTGGTGAATGAAAATACCATCTTCTATTTGATTCAATGGGATGGTAAATAATCATATCTCCTATTTGAATTTGTTACTATGTATTTAGATTTAATAATAATAAAAAGAAAAGCTATATCATATACAATTTTTCTTTTTTTTTTTTTCGTAGAGACGAACTACCAAAATTGTTTGAATCGATTTCGAATTTCAAACATATGTCGTTCTTCCTTGGGAACATTCTCCGAGGATCCAACACAATTCAAAATAGGATCTTTTATGCCTATGCTAATGTGGTGGAGTTTAATGATTATTTGACAATTCAAAACAACAACATACTCTTACGCTTCCGCCCGCCCCGCGCCCCCCCTACCCAACAAAAAATTCTCATTCTAAATGTCATAATTATATCATATTTTATACAAATATCAAAATTTGGCGAACAATAATAAAAGGCTTACAATTCAAAATTACACACATACGAACAAGGAATTTGTTTATCCTCCTAAAAATGTTATATATATATATATATATATTTTTTTTTTTCAAGAGTAAAAGATATAAGATTTGAAATAGCATCATGCATTAAAATATAAAATAGAACAAGATGTATGATGAGTTTTTATTTTGGGACTTTTAACTAAATAGCAACAATAAACATTTAAACGGCAAAACACTTAGAAGGAAGGAAGAAGGTAGAGGGATTTTGGGAGGAAAAATGAAAATGTAAGTTGTTTGGTATGAGAGAAAAGAGAAAGGAAGAAAAAATAGAGTGAAAAATAATACATGTGGGCCCCACTATTTTTTT